CCAAATTGACTTGACCTGAAGTTTTATCTCTTCAAACTTTCTGGGATCACATTTAAGTTGTCTTTATCGCTATTTCAATTATTCTAAGTTGACGTGCGAAGTCTTCTTCCCATCCAACTTCTCATAAAATTGATTTCACTTGGGCAATTTTTAATTTCATCGTTTCGAATTCAAGTAATTGCGTGAAAATTATGTGGTTGCCAAGCATGCTCATACATACGTACATATATATAGAGACAGAGAGAGAGACCAATGGGACATCCATGATAAGTATTTAAGTAATGGAAGAGGAGATTTATTTAGCAAAATAACTAACAAACCAAAAAACAAAAAAAATTGGCAACGACTTCAGTAGCCACTCTAAAATGTTGGCGCTGAGAGTTTTTTTTTTGTGGTGACTTTTAAAAATGTAACTGAGACTTACCAAAAATAAAATTGACTTGACAACTAAAAGTCAGAATATCATTTCAAATTTTGCAGGATCATTTTACTGAGTGAAAATTTACAATATTTGATCGTCTCTTAATATGTCAAGAACAAGCTGTATTTATCACTAAATAAATTAAGTTGACCAGCGAATTCGAAGTCTTGTGTTGATGTTTTCTCTCGGAAAACTTCATGCTTCAACGTGAGACTACATACAAAATATAACTTTTTTTACCCAAAAAAAAATTATCTAAATATAACATTTAACTATAGTTTTTTTTTATTTGGCCCAAAAAAACTATAGTTTTTTTAAAAAATATTTTATAATTAAATGTTGACAAAATATAACATTTGTTTTGGCTTGAAACTTCGATAACTAAAATCTAATCCTTTTGAGGCATAGAGATTACTTAAGTGAATTTTACCTCTCTCAACAAATGTAGCATATTTTTATACTAGAGTAATTTTTTCAGTAACAGCATAATAATTTTTTTAATAAATCCACTACTTTATTAGTGAGATTAAAAACATGTATTGACAAAATTCCAAGAACATGAAAAGATCTAATTAAATACTATAATTACTACCATATCAAGTAAGGGAGAGTTTGTAACAACTATCCCTTATCCACCAATAAAGTTATTTTATTTAATCTCAAACCATTAAAAGCCAGGTTTTAATCCTGGGAAAAACAATTTTTTTTCTTTTTTCTTTTGTTTTTTTTACAAGTCCCAAACACAAGGTCTAATCCTGTTCAAGGAGGGGAATTTTTTGAAAAGTTTAAAACTTTTCAAAAACTCACTTTCAAAGTAACCTGTCTAGTGGTTTAAGTACCTGATTTAACCTTTTTACAAAAACAGTAAAAACCGTTTAAAACCCATAGTTCGTATTCAACCATCAAATCCATTCTTTTTCCATCCAGCCTTTTGAATCTTGTATTAAGTCAACTATAGCCAATAAGGTTTAACATTCAATACCCTAGCCATAGGCTTATACAACAGGTTGTATATACAGATACACATAATTTTTAACAAAATAATAACTATATATCAAAATATTGACCATTTCCTTCAATAGCAGTTATTATGGTTTATCTGTCTTAGACACCTTATGGAGGAATATTTACATATCAAAATAGATATACAATATATCTTCACTCCAAAATAAGATGCATTTTAAGCAAAATATATATAAAAAAGATCTTTAGCTTCCTGCACCTTCAAACTTCACCTATCACTACTCCCTTGCCCTTAGGAGTACTTGCTCTTGTTGTGTTACATGGAAGAAAGGGTGAGATTCTAGAGAATACCTATAGTAACAAATTGCCTTCACGTAATCACACAAGATCACGAACAACATGCTACACAAGCCCAAGAAAACAACACCTTGCATCTAAATATAATCAATGATGCACATACACCATACAACCATATAGCCAATCACTATCTATCGCGTCCACATTCCAAAATAAATGGAAACCAATGCATATTGTCATGACAAATATTATCATGCAAAGGCAACTTACATGTTCTCATGCACAATCAACATAAAGGCACATCCAAGCATGTGACAATCAATGCACAATCACATTAAAGGAAAAGAGTTACTACCTTTTGCTTTTCCTTCCGTACTAACTTCCTTTTGCTTCTTCCTTGGCTCCCTTCTTAATGGACTTGAACAAATATCAAATCCTATAAATTATATATGCAAGGATAGATTAATATATATAGGTATAAGTATTTAAGAATTCTCCCATTTCCCTTATGCTTCCCACAGTCATACTTCCAGAAGTTACACACACACGCATGTGTGTTTGTGTGTGTGTGTGTATACATGACAATTATACTACACAAACTTATAAACAAATTATCATACATTAATCTCTTCAGATATTTCCCCCACAATTCGAGCTTCATATGCATCATTCTATTTACTATTTTAATGTCCAAAAATCTTGATTCAGTCCTCTCAAATCATTATTCAAATTCTACATTAATCTCAACACCCTTGCTAATCTGTAAACTTTTTCAGATTTCAATATCTTTCTTCACACTTCAATCAATTTCGGACAGCACCCCATGCTTCCAAAAATATTTTAATATGTCTACACTGAGGTTTAATCATCTCTCTTCCCTTCCTATATTTCACACCACATTCATAAGCAATTCTGGAAAATTTTTCCAGATTCTAAACATACTCCCAAATTTGGAGCAGGCCCCTTTACCTTAGTTCCAAAAATTCTCCAGCTTTAAAACTATTTTCATACCATCACAATAGAGCTTTTAAACCGGATCCAATAACTCAATATGCCAATAATAGCTGTAGAGCATCAACTCGTAATGATTCTTCAATTTTCCAGTTTGAGATATTGCCACTAAAATTCCAGATTTGACACAGACAACACCCACACACATACATACACACACACACACACACACACACACACACACATATATATATATATATATTACATCTCCTACAGCCCTAAGGTCCTCAAACTACCACCGAACAAACTAAACATCCCTGTTTCGGTAACTAAAACCAGAGCAATCAACTATACAAGCAAGTGCAAAAATCCCAACCACAAACTCCATCCTCACCATTAAGCACGATTTCTATAGCTTGGCTCTCATGCTCTTCACTTTGTCTCTCAAAAACCAGATTTCATCTTCATCATCACCTTGCAACACATGCCCAAATAATAGAAAACAAAGACGGAAGAAGATTCAAGAGAGTCACCTTGTTTGATTTTCACCTTTGTATGAACCGATTCCCTCCTCCGATAGCCTTTCCCCTTCTTGATCTCTCTCGAACTCTCTCAGCGCTCTCTTTGTTTTCACTTCGAAAGCAGAGGAAAAATGAGAAGGGAGAAGATGTTAGGGCAGATTAAGTTGGCATGGGGTATGGAATGACCATTATGCCCTTGTTTTTCATTTTCCCTTTAATTTGATCCTTCTCTATTTTTCTAGGATAATCAAATAATTCCAGAAATCAAATCTGGATATTTTATATGAATTTTCTTCTTCCATTAGCTTTTTAGTCCATAAAATAATTATCCTAAAAATCTCAGTTCAAAAATTATCCTCTAACTACTTTTTTTTGAATTTTTCAAGAAAATAGGTCCTAAATTCCTGAAATTTACTTTATAATTATTTAGATCATATTTTAAGGGTCTTAATCTCAATAATTTCTCAAAAAAAAAAAATTCCTTCATCATGCTTTACTTAACTCCATCAAATTTGAGATATTACAGAGTTGGATCCCTAGGAGTCTACTCTATTGAACTCTTAAGGGTCTCGTTGGCCAAAAACAAAAAGTTAAGGGTCTCATCATTGGTCCTGCAATTCTAATTAAATGAGTCAGAAATGAAAATTTAAAGGTGATGGTAAGTCATAGTTAATGTGGGCAGACTTGGAGCTCTTACTCTGCTATCAAGTAGTTAAAGGTCTCGTTGGCCCCAAAAAAAAAAGTTAAGGGTCTCATCATGGTACATGATACTTTTCCGTTATAAATATAAGACCTATTCTATAATATAAATTACACTAGAAAATAAATATTATATTTAAGACCAAAGGAATAGGTTTACTTAAATAAATAAGTTTACTAATTAATCTCTGAATTCTAGCCAATGAGTTGTCTCATTATGATTCATGTTAATATAACCCTATGAATATTATCAATCATGCATTAATATAAAATATAAAATAGATAATAAATTCTACTGTTCGATGTATACAAGGATATTTCTCCTTAGCCGATGGTTTAAAACTAATTCCTAGTTATCTGCCAACATTCAGATCTTATTAAAAGCTTTCGGATATAAGGTCAGATTCTTCCAGTTTAACTAATAAACGTAGTGTAGTTACAAGCTTGAATCTGCTAATTAAGAAACCTTTGGACAAACAGTAAAAATATCATTGTGGGTCTTTTTGTGGTTGTTAGAGCGAGGTGATTTAAAAGATTATGTGATGAGTTGGATTGTGGAATTCACTTTGTATAAAAGATAGTTTCTCATTGAAATTATATATAAAAAAAATATGATGTTACTTTTAAACAATTTTTATTTTGTTAGTTTAAAAAAACATAAAAATAAAAAGTCAAAATTACCAACCACTAACAAGCTTTTCTTTTACCCAAATTCTATCTGGATTATTTTGACCCTCTAATATGATTCATAAGCCCTCGTTTCATTTTGAAAAAACACATTTTTCGTATCTTTATCTTTTTTTGTGTGCCAGTCGTGTGTCATCTCCATGGGAGAACCAACAAAAGTTTGGAAAAATCACGTTTGACCTTTTCCACTTCAAATTATGTGGACATGATTTGTAGGTGGAACCATTAATTCCCAAACAAAACTTGAATTTTGATGGCCTGAGGAACGATATGAATCTAGTATAAAATTCGGGTAATGACATCAATGGAAGATTCAATTTAGTATTCGGCTAATCCTCCTTGCGTCCTTTATTGCATTGTTCCCGTCTCTTGTTCCCTTTTCCATCTTTTGAGACCATTAATTATCGATCCATTCATGAAATCAAACCAAACAGTAATTGGGAATAAAATAAAGAATGAAATAGAGCCATAGAAACCCACTAATCAACTGAAACTTCAGTAGCAAATTAACAGAGAGAGATGTCACAACCATGATCAAGTCAGGAAGTTTCATAATCCAAAAAAACATAACTTCTGTAGAACAAGTCCAATGAGAAACCACTTTATATTACACACAACAACATCCATTTTAGTATAAACTAATGCAAAGAAACTACCTAGCTGAGGGGAGGGTGATTGAATCAAGATTCCCAGAATGATTGATTGGATGGCTTGGTATACCATTTGAATTCGAAAGACCAATCTCCATAGCTAAACATTCCCTTAGTTCAAGCAACACATAACTAATGTCTGGCCTTTGGGTGCGCTGTGGTGCAATGCATGACATTGCTGTCTCCACAGCCTTCCATGCGGAACAAACATTGAATTCACCTGCCAACCTTAGGTCAACAATGCCTTGGATATCCCCACATTCAATTTTTGGACGAATCCAATCAATGATGAAACATATATCCTCAAGTTCTCTTCTCACCGGTGGATGGCTTGTGATAAGTTGAAGAAGAATCATCCCAAAACTATAGATGTCACTTTCTTTGTTTAGGTTTCCGGACTTTTGAAATCTGTAGTGTCAACAAATAATTAGCTTACAATACAATAGTCTTTTATTTTCTTTGGATTAATATTCTTTATTGATAAAATGCAATGACTTACTCAGGATCAATAAAACCAGGCGTACCAGCTGGTTGAGTTGATAGATGAGTATCTCTTTCATTTTTAAATGCTCTTGATAATCCAAAATCAGCAAGCTTGGCTACCATGGACTGATTTAACAGAATATTGGATGGTTTTAAGTCTCTATGAATTATGGGAGTCTTACAACCATGATGAAGATATTCCAGTCCTGCAACTTTATCAAATTATGTAAGTTATGGTAAAATGTGATTGTTAAGGAGAGAAAAAACTCATTAGTTCTCTAACCTCTTGCTGCATCTATACTAACTTGAAGTCTCTCATTCCACTTTAAAACTTTTGAGTTTTTCTCTGCAGAGACATTGGGTTTTGGTCAATGGAACGCCAGGAACCAAAACACACATATGATGGTATATGTAACAATTCAGTAAAGTGTATAATATAAATGAAGTTGTTAAAAGAATTTGAACAACAAATCGCAGTGTCAAGGTTGGATCAACTCTAAAAGGATGTTTTAGAAGAAAAGAGGAAAAGTGGGTAAAAAAGAGTATGGTAAAGTAGAAGTTTTGGAAACTTTGTGAGGGGACTAACCCTTAAAGAGATGTCTTTCTATTTTTTTTTCTTTTTAGTTGTTATCTTCTTTTACTATTATTTTCTAAGAGGATAATCAAGTTCCCCCATATTTGCTGGTATACTCTTGGCTTGGCAAAAGAAGCCAATCGCTTCAAAAGATCATATATGTGAGCTATTTATAATTAGTTTTTGATTAGTATATATAGTTTTTGATACTAGATGCCGGGATAATGTTAACCTCGTGAAATTTGTGGTATTTCATCACATTTTCCTTTAGCTATTACACTTTTTGGTAAACTAGTGCATATTTGGATGTACTCATGAAAGGAAAATGTGCATAATTGATACTTGGGCTAGAATTGTGGAATTTTGGTTAATTGTGAATATTTTGCCTCTAATTTATCAATTTTGGCTTTCACAGTTTGTCTTACTTTGTTAGGTGGTTGAAGCTTGCCAATGGAGCCATTTGAAACAAGTATTGATTCCCATGAAGTTGGAAAGATACTTAGGAAGCCATGCTATAATGAAGAAATCAAGAAAAGAGGAGATGTAAAATAGAGCACTGTTGGCCTAAGCCAACAGAATCTCTTGGCCTCAACTAACAGCATTCTAGAGAATAACTAGCCGCAACCAAGGAAAATCTTGGTTACAGCCAATGGAAAATTATTGATACTCTGTGTTTTGAAAACAGCATGCTTCCTAGGGCTTCATATGCTATATAAATCAAAGGGATGCGCTATTTTCATGCATTCTAGTCTTCTTGGGTGCATTTGGGAGCTCTTTGGTGTGCTAGGACATGGATTTTGATGGAGATTGAGTTGGGTTTTGAAGTTTGGAAGAGATTTTGGCTTCATATCTTGGTTCTTCTTCTCCATTCTCCTTTCCTTTCTCATGTTCAATGTTTGTGCTAGTTTATCTGTATTTTTCATGGGATTTCTGAACATGTGCAGCTAAACCTTTAATTCTAGGATTATTTTGAATCTTTTATATGGATTAACTCTTGATTCCTCCTCTCATTTTGTGATTAATGATGTGTATGCGTGTGTGTGTGTTTATTTTACCCCTTGCTTAATGCTTGATTACCATTTAGATGTTCTGTTTATTTGAGTGATGCTTGAGAAGGCTAGCTTGAGTGTAGAACTTGGGTAAAATTGTGTAAGAACTTGAAGTCTGCATGTTGAATGAATGGTTTTGTTGGTAAAATAGAGATATACTTGCTACCCTTATATAGTCACTTTAGGATTGGAGATTAAAATTAGGTTTTATTAATTGTAACAAGAGATTGAGCAATTAATGAAATTAAACACTTGTTCTTGACTTGAGAAAGCTTTTACACATACATTATGAATCCTAAACTAGCATATATTCTTCATTTAAAAGCTTTGATGAGAGGAGATAAATTGCATGTTAATAAATACAAGGGGGATAAATAATCCTAGATCCCATTTTATCCTTGAAGTCTAAGAATCATTTGTTTATATTAATTTTTAATTTTGAAAATAGTTTCCTTTCACTCTTAACATATTTGTGTCACTCAAATTAAGCAAAAGTGTGATTATCAATACTTGACGGGTGAACAAAAAATTAATCATTTTCATTGGAGTTAATTAGAAGTATATAGGGATCCAAAATCACTTTACACCAAGGGGGAAAAAAAAAGATTCTAGTAGGATCAATGATTGAAAAGGTGTCGCAAAAGTCTGAAGAGGTAATCTCAGCAAATGAATTGTCTAGAAGTTATGTGCTGGTAAAATAAATAACTTTGATGTGAATTGATGGAACAATGCTAGAGATAGTGAAATCAAGTGAGGAGTTAAGGACATAGATGGAGAAAGTTTCAGTTGCTTGGTTGAGTGCCGATAAGTTTCTTGCGCACTAGCTTTTAGTCAATAAAATATTCACCACCAATTTCTTCCCTATAGATATACTACCTTCAGTCCTTGAAATAATAGTTAGTTTGACTTTTAATTTGGTCTTAAATATGAAATCTCAATTTATTTTATCTCTCATATTTATCTATTTTTTTAAGTAATTCTTGTAGTAGTTGCAGCTATTAAAGATTTCATCAAATAATAACTCTAGCTAATACACATGATTAGTAAGGGTATTTTAGGAAATTTAACTCATTTGTTATAAACAACTAACTTAACACCCTTTTTTAATCCACTCAAATTAGTCAACTAATTCTTGTATTAATGACCAGAAATAGTATTATAAAGGCAAGAAAACCATACCAACCATTACGCAATGCTAGAGAAGTTTTAATTTGATCATTAAGACAAACCTGACAATAGTCCGCTGAGGTCTCCAAGATCCATATATTCATAAACCAACGCTTTGATGTCGTTTTCATCACAAAACCCAACTAGTGAAACCAAGTTTCTATGATGAATGACTGTTAAGAGTTGAGCCTACAAGTTAAAATTGCTCAGATCTCTATTTTAGAACATAATTTTTAACAAGAACATCATTCTACCACCCAGTAGGAACATATTCAACATTGAATTATTAAAAAAATTGAAAACTATGACTTGATGACTTTTATTTCTGACCTCTGATTGAAATTCCTTATAGCCTTGCCTTGAAGATGGAGAAAGTAGCTTAACAGCAACCTTTGTGCCATCTTCTAAAGTACCAAGGTAAATTTTTCCAAACCCTCCTTCTCCAATAGCAGTTTCTAAATTGTTTGTGATACGGAGTACCTCCGTGTAAGAAAATGATTGATTGTTATCTTTTGCAGCTTCCCTTTTTTGAAATTCACTTAGGATGACTACAACATTAAATGAAATTTTGTGAGACTTTCATGATCTTATAAAGTTGTAAAAGCAACTAATTGAGCTTAATTAGATTATTGGCCATCCAAAGAGATTAGACCGTTTGAAGAAAGAGACTCAAGGCATGTGCAGGTTTTTTCCCTTAAAAAGGGGAATTTGGGGATGCGTTTCTAGTAATGAATTGGCAGCATGTGTACGAATAAATACCTCTTTTATGTCTAAATCTCCAGATCACCAGGGCAACAATAACAGTTAGGATGACCAAAGCCGCAACTGATGCAATAAGTGGAATTACAAAATTGTGTTTTTTGCAGGAACTCTTTTGGCAAAGACCTGGATTGTTGGCCACACTAGTAAAATAGAGCAGGGGTTAGCCGAGTTAACAGTATAAGGATATATAATACACATAATGTCATATCAAATTTGATTTATTATATTAAAGTAGATTGCTTCTATGCTTGCGATTTAGGGTTATTTTTGTCCCTTAATGCTTTAAAAGTTAAAATTGAAATATAGAATTTAACATTCAAGACAGTAAACCTTAGCTGCAATCCAGCATTTTCCTTCAAAGCCTTGGGAATTAAACCAGTGAGCTTGTTTCCTGCTAAATTACTGCAAGTGGAATTCTAAGATACACGACTTCGCAATGAACATGAACACGAAAGACTACCTAATGTAATTTTAATTAAGATCTTACATGAACTTCAAATTCGGAAGAGTTGAGAGAAACTCTGGTAGTTGTCCAATCAGTTCATTATTTGACAAATCCCTGTGAACAAGTGTTATTCATAAAACCTAACAACATGCTCAGTATAATGGTACGTAGTTGAAATTTAGAGCCTATCTTATGTAAAAACTTACAATGACTCCAATTTTAATAATTTAGCAAACGATTCACTTATTTCACCTTTGAGGCTGCTTGAGCTCAAGTTCCTACAATTTGTAATTTATCCACCATTTTAAGCAACGTAACTAAGAGAGAGAAACGAAATGGAATCTAAAGGTTATACGTTCAAATATATACGAGTCTATGATTGAGATACATCATCAAATTAAGACATGCTGGTCATTTCATGAATAAAAAATCAGCAAATAATAATGTTCATACCTCGAAATAATACGGCATTCTACCCTCATCCTTAACTATTGTGTGCAAGATGTTGTCCTTGGATGCAGTAAAAATAACATCATAAATAAGAGTAGAAATATGGGACTACTTACAATGAAAGGATCCTTATATTATTTTCGGAGCTGCAAATCAGGCCATCCCATGCTAATTTAGATGGAACACATGGGTCCCCTTGCCAACTAATTCTAGAGATCCCATAAGTATGCTTTATTTCCAACATGGCATCAACTACAAAATTTCCAATCATAAATCATTAGACAGTATAGTCTTTTATTCTCTTTTAGTTTAGTATGGTGATTATATGAATAGAGCAAAAACTGATAGAACGATGCCCAAAATGAACGAATGATAAGGAAAAGAAATAATATCTCCGGTATAAGATCTACTTTGTAGGGCAAATTGTACTAGAAAATAGATCTTATATTGAAGACCGGAGGCAATAATAGAAATACCATCTTGTGTTGCCGTAGGAGAATCAGGTTGTGAGATGGCTTCATAAATTTCGTAGGCATTTAAGATTGGAGGAGCATCTGAATCAGCTGTTGCCATTGCTGTGAAACTAATGTAACCTTTACTCATCTTGTTGGAACTTAAGGTGATAGGCTTCAAGTATTGAAGAGTAAGTACGTGAGACGGTGAATTGTCGTCGTCATCATCAAAGGTGACATTGATAATCCTCTTGTGGCAGGAAGGAAGCTTCTGGATTTCAGCGAAGTGAAGGAACAAATAATATTGAGCAGATATATCGCCACTCCAATTCGCAGTCAATGCATTGGAATTGTTTAGGGGTTGTGATGCAGTGCTTAATACTTCTAATGGCAGGTCATAATTGGAGCTCTTTGTGTTTCCTTCTACACTTGATTTTGCAACATCCCAAGCGTCAGCATGACCTGTTACCCATAAGCGGTCGAATACATCGTCCCTGTACCTACGGAAAAGTGCGCGTACACACTTGTTTCAAAAAAAACAAAATCTCTTTGCACGAGGAAGAAGACTTAGATCTTTACTCTTACACACACACACACACACACATATTGGCATAGATCCATCCTCTTATATGCTTACCATACTTTTGTTCAATCAAATTAGAACAAATGGGTTTTAAAGTAAGAAAACCGTGAAAGTATCTATTATATAATTTTCCTGGTGGTAATTATACTTTTTTTCTCTTTATTAAATTCTTAATTTTTTTCTGTTAGCACTGTTAGCCATATAGCTTTGGTCTGTTAACACTGTTATGATATTAATAGAGCACAAATAAATTATTTAATCAAGAAAGAAAAATGCATAGGCATTAGTCCACCTCTATGTATGTATATAAAAGATCAATTTTCAAGGTCAGCACAAATAATAGTTTTTACTTTTTATTTACTGTACATCTTTGACTTCTTTCATATATATATATATAATTCACAAAGTCTCACAAAAATATAGATACAAGCTAGTTAATTATTGTAGCGTAACAAAAATGAAAGAGCACCTACCTGGTAAAAGGGTTCCAAGGCGGAGAGCCACAATTGACCCTGGAATATAGTAACAAGGGAAGTGGAACTGCCGAATAGGGAGAGTTGTTAAGTGGCCTTAATTCCAGAGTGTTAATAAAAGGAGTACCAAGTCCAGTGTTCACCAGGCACACTTGAACCAAGTGATCAGAAGGAAGCTGTTGCATTATGATTTCGTTGAATTGCATATAAGTTGCATTAGGCAGCCGAATTGTTGTCCAATAATTGGCCCCAACGTAGAGTTCGAAGACTGGAACTGTGTTTTTGTTGTCATAATTCCCATATGAAAATATTGCTCTGATCAGATACGTTTGATTCATCTTCTGTTGTTTTGGTTTCATAACGTAACAGTTCCTTTTTCCCTCCGGAAAACTTCTTAACGTCTTTAGTTGTCGGCTTAGGCGTGGAAGGTTTTCGAAGTTGGATGATATGTCATAGTTTTCTCCATTGCCAATGAAGTCTTCATCTGTCTGGTACCAGATTCCTGTTTGACTGTCCAAGTAATCTTCCCTTGCCCCACAATCTATGCTTAGGAAACCTGAACCAATATACTAATTATTTTCCTTGTTTTAAATAAAAATTCCTCAATGTAGATTTAGGAGGAAAAAGGAATAACAGAAAAGCATGCACGTTAAGAGGTTAATCTGTTACCTGCTGAATCATGGGCTGAGTGGCTAACAATAATGATGAACGAAACAAGCACATACAAAACCAAAATCCATAGTGATATTTTCTTCATCATGTATTCAAGTTTAGATGGAAAAAGGGATAGAGAAACGATGTGCTTTCGGGAGAAGAAGAGGACTAGTGAGCATAAATATTAGGATCCTACATAATCATGTGACTTTTCTATGACTGGTCTAAATATAAATAAAGAAAATTAGTCATTTGTTTATTATCAATAATGTTAATCTTTCATTTGGCTTTTTGTTTTTTGTTTTATTGCCCCCTTAATTTGGAAAAGTTCTTTTTCTCCTTAATCATATTTGAGGAGCAAACAGACACTAACCTCTCGTTTGGAAGGATAGAAAATGAGGAAGAAAAGAAAACCTAGGAAAGAAAATGATTAGAGATTTTTTTTTTAAATGTAGGCAACTCTTTCAATGAGAATTTAAATATTGGTTCACTACGAACGCTAAACCCGACTCAATTGTTTGCAGAAAAGTTATTCTAAATGAATGAACATTTATTGTGAAAGACCATCAACATTATATTTAGCAATTCACAAGTTTTTATTAGCTATTCATAACAAAAATTTTGCAATAAAGTTGCACTCTCTAATAAACTTCTATTATTATGCAATCACAAGTTTAGAAATTAACAAGTCTTATTTAGTACTTCACATGTCTCCATTAGCTATCCTTAACAAAATCTTTGTGATAAATTAAAATGGTGCTCCTCAATATATTAACCTTTATTGGTATTCAATCACAACAACACAACCTTTATTAATTCACAAGTTTCCGTTAGCTATTCGATATACAACTTTGATGATAAAGTTAAAGTTGTCGGAGATCCGGTTGCTAACAGTATTGCCAGCAGGTCATTGGCAAAGGCGGCTTTAAAAAATGAAGAGGAGCCTTTGAAAGGAAAAGGTGAGAGGCAATGTGATAAAACACCCAATTTTCACAAAATCCTAAATTAGACCCATTAGCCAATTAAGGATTTACTGAGTCTGTTAGTGTGGCTTAATGTTTTGACATCAATATTAAGACGCACGGTAAATTTCTTGAATACGTTAGTGGCGCAACTTTATATAAATAGATGCTGGCAAAAAACTTCGTATAAATAGATTGCCCTTGTGTGAATTAAAAAGAAAACGACAGCAAATTAAAACGAAATAATATAAAGTTGGTGTAATAATTATTCTCGCAACGTACGTAATATATGTTATTAATAAAAAATAAAAAAAATGCTTTTCTTTTTTGTTTTCAAATTTGAATAGATGTGAAATTTTTTGAAAGGCAAGACTTACGTCAACTTTTGGTGAAGTTAACTTTAGTTGAAGTTCTCTAATCACGCTATTTTTCTTTTTTTAATTATTTGTTGTTAAAATGCACATATACACTTATGAATTTACTTATTAATTTCTTGTACATTTTTGTATCAATTCTTATAATATAAATTAGAATTTGTAAATTTTCATATAGACACTTATTATTGTGATATTGTTAATTATTAGAATGTGTATGTTCATTTGTAAATTCACATATTAACTGATATAACAGATAAAAATAATTTGATCTGAGTTTTATTTTTGTTCTAAATCATTCAAATAATGAAGTTTATTCACCCTCTTTTCACTTAATCCTTTAACTATATGCGGGAGACGCCACCCAATTTGGCTCATCTCCAATATAATTCTGGTATTAAGCATTTTGACCAAATTTTGACAGTCCCGAATTATATATTTCCATTGAAATATTTTAATAATATTAATCTTATAAAATACTATTAATTATGAAAAGTATAAATTGGATAACCGTATTAATTACTAATAAGAGAATAATAGTCCAACTCCCTCTAGTCCTTATTATAAGGGGTCTGATAACCTCTCAAAATGTCTACTTATTCAACTTGTTTTAGAGCCCTTTTATATGTTTTGGAAGTCAATTTTGCAAGAAAAAGCCTGAAGCGAGCAAGAAAGAGAGACCAGAAGCAGAGAGGCTGAAAAAGAACCAACCCCCGTGACGCATGGAGACAAACGCCACGGTGGCTTTAACAGAGGGGAGGAATGCAGTTTTGTGTGAGCCGTCGCGGCTCCTGACTGAATCCACTGCAGCTCCCAAGATATCCCAAAGAAGTCCCTGTTCGGTGTAATCTGCGACGGCCTATACTCACATACGCTGCGGTGCCAAGGCTGCTCCCAGGAAATCCATTCTGTGTAATCTGCTGTGGCGGATCACCACATTCGCCGCGGCGTCTGACCCCTCGCAACTGTGTGTTTTGAGCTGTAACTTAAAAATTAGGGCTATACTTTAGGGGACTCGTGTTTTCTGGAGACACTTCGACTTTGGGGCGATTTTGGAGGCTTAGGATCTTTGGGCTCGAAGCTGGAAGAGATTCGAAGTTTTGTACTTGATTTTTCTGGGTTTTCTTCTTCTTTCCTTCTTGTTTCTGTAATGACTACGAGCTATTCTTATAGTTGTAGTTGTTTACTAAACATGTATAGCTAAAGCAGTTTTTCTAGGGTTATTTTGATCTATTATATGGATTGAGACTTGGTTTAACTATCTCTTTAGTATTAATGATAATGTTCAGTTGTTTTTACCTTGAGCTTAATGCTTCCTTGTATTTGGCCATTATTTGGATTGATTGTTTGATTAGTTTAAACTTGAGAAAGTTAAATTAATATGTGAACTTTGGTAAAAACATGCTAGTCTAGAAATTTAACTGAGTAAATAGATGGTTTGTTGATAGAACAGAGATGTATCTGTTAGCCTAGCATAGACTAAAATGGGTTTTGGTTTTCAAAGTGCAACCTTTTTAAACAAATGCAAGAGATTGCAATGTTTTATTATGATTGCAAAAATTTGGTTTTGACTTGAGAAAGCTTAATCAATTTTGCGTACCTTGGCTAACTGAACTTATTGTTAATTACTACTTGAGAAGTGATTAGTCCAGTTTTATGAAGTATTTTAGCAAAGAATAACCATAGTCCCTTATTTGTTTCAAAGTCAAGTTGATTTCATATTGCTTTAAATCATTGTTTTCCTAATTTCATCTCACAAACTCTTTTATAACTTTTGCTTCACTTAACCTAATCAAGAACACAATTATGATTTTTTAACTCGTCTAGCCTTGGTCTCTGAGGAAATGATACTTTTTATATTACTTGCGACCCATCTGCTTGCAGTTTAGCTAATCGGTGAACAAGTTTTTGGCGCCGTTGTCGGGGACTAACAGCAAGATTGTTTGTGGTTTATTGTCCTTATTGTGTGATTGGTTACACTTAAGTTTCTTTTGGCATTTGTAGTAATAGTTATAGGTAGAGTAGTAGTATTTATTTAGTTCATTTCACTTGATAAGTTTGATACTTGTGTTTTTTATT